CGGCGGCAGTGTGGCGGTTCGGGCACGTGGGTGGGGGCCGCTTTGGCAGGGAGAGAGAGGGAGTTGGTGAATGGATGTGAATGGAGAGGTGGAAAACCTGAATGCTAGCGGCCACAAAGAAGCGTCAGATGGGATTGCAGGTGCTTCTTTTGGAAACATACGTCTACGGTGGGTTCGGATGGCAGCTGCCTGCGGTTCACGGACGTGGGTACAGATTCTGTCATCGCTGGATCATACCAGGATCACCTTTTTGGGTATCGTTTGGTTTCAATGCTCGAAAAGGTCTGATATTATAGTAAAAAAACCAGAAGCGCCTGTGAACGAGAAGGTGGTGTCCAGGGGTTTATTTCGTGCCAGCCCTCACATGTGTTTCCATGTACCAGCATGTCACAAAAGGGTGCTATCCATGGAGGTAGTCGGGGGCCCCGACCATCACATCCACGGCCCCTGGATGGGACCAAACACCACAGCACCACGTCGAATGTGACTGACTGCTTTGGACTTCGTGCCAGTCTGAGGTCTTGGTCGTAACACCGGTGATGTGTCTTGTTCCAAGGAAAACCACTGAAGAATGTGGAGGAACATGGAACATGAGGACGGAACAGCTTCGTGCAGGGTCCGAGAAAAACATGGGTTTTGACGGTGTTTCTGATTTCCTGACCACATTTCAGAGCATCACCTTGACATCCCATCTGAAATACGTGACGACGTGTCTTGCAAAATGGTCGACCTCTCTCTGAAGTCAGGATCCCCTGCAACAGCAACGGGCGGCCAGCCTTTGGGTGGGGGTCCTTTTCGGAAAAACGGACGGCGGGAAGGCGCGCGATGTAGATCCCTACAAGGTCAGGAACTATATTATACCCTACAAGTCCAAGGACCAAGTTGAACCTGGTTCTTTACCTCATTGAGTACTGGTTTTGCATCACCGGACCCAGTCAAATGAGGTCCTTGACCTGCAGGGATAATAAAGTCCTTTTTGTTTCTATCACAGGGGGTGATCTGAGAAGGTATGTGGATCCATAGGGAGAGGACACATACCTGGATCTTCCAACTACTATCCAGAATTTCTGCCTTTTGGCTTGCTTGTATGGATGAACAGGCAGAAATTCTGCATAGTTGGAAGATCCAGATATACCCTATTACAGGTCAGGAGCTGACCATGAACTGTCCTCATGAAATACTGGAGTGGATGCGTCTGACAAACACTACGAACATGAGGTGTTCAGGATCAGGTCTTCTTTAGTCAGACTGGACGGTGTAATATGGTGTCAGACTCGCATAGGCGTATGTGTGCGATCTTGAAGCGTATTGCTGCCGGTTTCCTCTGGGACCAAACACTACTGAGGTTGAAGAGGACTGTAGGACCTGAAAAATAAATAGCTCAGCTCAATAGTTTACTTGTGTTTTCACTTTTTCCCATTCCACATCTCCGTGGGGGGTCTTGTTCATTCACAGCTCACATGAGCTCACGGGTCACACATCCTTCATCGGTAAAATACGCAGCTCAGAAATGAAGCTCCGGAAATTCCTTCATGCTCCATTTGAAAGTGTGGTGTTTCACCTCGCTCTGTTCGTTCGTTCGTGGATCGCAACCCCACGAATGTTTCGTCTGTCACCTACGAAACGGGCTCAGACGTCACGTCCGACCCGAAACCCGGTTAGGGTGGTTCGGGCGGGGGTTTGGGGGCAAACATGGGCAAACCCTAAAACCCTAAACCCACCGAACCTGAGGATGTTAGGGCCCAAGCTGTGCCCACGTTTGGGAGACTCAAAACAGTCGACCAAAAGAGCCTCCTGCCGGTCACCCTCTTCGTCTTCATCCTTGCCTCCTGGGTCCAAAGCAGTAAAAGAAGAGGATGGAATTTCGACCGCATGTTTTTTTTTCACGGGTACATGTCATGACCTTAGTGTTGTTATTTTTTCATGGGATTTTCTGCTCACCCCATGTGTGATGACTTGTGTTTTTGTTTTGCCTTTTGCCTAGTTGAAGCCATTTATATAAAGCCCACGCGTTTCAATGCGTTTCACAAGGTACTGTCCCAACCTCTTTGATTTCACCAGCACCAGTCCATGGTAACCCCACAGGTCCAAAGAGCCAGTCAAACCTAGCCCTTTACCTCCCCAACTCTTCTGAAATGAGGTCTTTGACCTGTACGGTCATCACTTCAGGAGCGAGTTAGTGTTTTCCGTAGGATTCACCCTGACGAAGTCCTCCACGTCTCGCTTTCGCACGACACCCACCAGCGTCGCGTCGCGCGGCAACGTGCGCTGCGCGTGCGCTGCGCGTCGCACGGCGTGCGCTTCGGCCGCAGATTGCTCAGCAGCTGAAGGATCTACTCGGGGTGAAGATCCCCCAGGCAGGTGATTTTTGGTGTGCGTGTGTGTTGTCTTTGCTATTTCCCTGGCGGGGGGTGATGCCCGAAGTGGATCTAAAGAGAGGATTTGGTTCATCTTTCGTCATGTTTCCACAACAGGTCCAGTAGAATGAGGTCCGTTCCTGACGTGTTTGGGGTATATAACGGTATACGGTACATATGTCCCATCCCTATGGATCCACTGCCACCGTTTCTCAGAAAGTACCTGGGCCCGACCCTGGCGCCTACATAGTCTCTAATCACCATACCTCAGGTTCGGTATGTGGATCCATAGGGTATAATAGATTATAATGGTAATCAGGTATATGGTCCCAAAATAGTAGTCCTGTAGGTATGTGGACTCCGATCCCGACATTCTGATGGAACCAGCAGCCTTTGGTTTGCTTCAGGCAGTTGAATTCGCTTCACTCAAAAACTTGTCGGTGCTCAAGTAGGAGGCCAAAGATCATTTGAAGAGACCCTCCTGGTTGCGGGGTTGGCCAAGTCCGAAGGCTAGTGAAGATTGTTGATGAATTAAACCACCCGATTTGGATCACTGAAGAATGTTATAGTTATAGTTGTATAGCCTACAGTATGGAAGGGATAAAGAGTCTTGATCGAGATGGAACAGTGTCACATTGATGCGGGGTGATGCGGGGTCGTTTGGTCGAGGATGCCTCAGGGTCTTTGGGATAATTTGAAGTAACTTCTACTTCTTCCAGAGGTAGGCAGCCGGTAGGCACCAATTCAGTTGAATACCAGTAGACATCCCAACCAATGGGAGTTTACTTGTAAAAATCAATCATAAGTAACTACGGATCCGTGGAATGCACGGCATCTCTATAGAGAAAAAGCCATGCTAGACCCATGTTCAGTTCCTCTTCGAACTGTTTCGGGCACCAATTCTGGCATCGCACCTCACAAAGATGGTTTCCCTAGGGCTCCAACCACCTCCTGAGAAGATGGTTGGGGTGGGTTTGGGGGGTCTAACCACCTTCTGAGGATATGGTTGGAGCCCCAATGTTTGTTCTTCGTCCCTTACACCGTTACACGATCCAAACTTCCGGCCCATCACCATCACGTTCACCATCCCCAGACACTCCATGTATCATATATGACAGACATGGAGTGTTTGGGATCACCGTTGGTGGAACTTCCACCGGTGGAACCCGCGGGGAACTCCGAGGACCTGCTGATCAAGCAAGAGCTGCGCCTTGGAACCGTCGTTCGGCCGGACACGCAACGGTCGCTGGAGGGCTGGCTTTTTGGAGAGGGGTGAAGGTGGTTCGTTCAGCTGGGCCTGACGTGGGGGTTCAGAACGGTTCGGGAGGAGGGGTATTGAAGAGCTTCTGTGCGAGTTCATTCGTGAGATGCTGATCTTGAGCTGGCAGAGTCTGTCAGACATAGTCCCCAGCCTGGGGCGCCTGTCCTACATCCTGAGGAAGGGGTGGGTCCATCTAGCTTCTGAGGTGAATCAATTATAGAAGTTTGTTGTTTTCACTCGCTCTTCATGATGACGATTGACGCCCAGGATGGGCTCATCGCAGATAGATCTCCCTTAAAGTGACAAAGAGCCAGTTGAGCCCCGCATGCTTTTTCCTCCCAGGGATGTTGCTTTGCCAAAAGCTTGCAGCCTGTGACCTTCCTGTGTTGCGGTCAGAAGTGACCGCGATGGCCAGAAGGTGGAACGAGACAGGACAGGTACACAGCTGCCTGTGCAGGTGCTGTACGACCTGCGGTTGCGCAGGTCAGCTGCTACATTGTCTTCCAGTATACCCTTGATAACTCTTTCCTGGCAACAGTGGAGGACACTATGCTCACACAGGACGAGTCCGCAGCCATCGCCTTACATGCTCACGAGGACACCATGCTCACACGGAGGTGCGAAGACCGTCCATCACCTTGACCAGCGTCCGTCTCTTGCTCGAACCAATGGACCAGCACTGGACCAGCGCTGGACCAGCGACGGGACCAGGCGCGATTATGTGCGGCTTGGCATGAAAATCCCTGGGAAGAAGCTGAAGATGCAAGATCTTGAGACCGGTTTGTTCCACACTGCAGTACCTGCAGTCACGTTCGACGGGGTGCTATCCATGGAGGTAGTCGGGGTGCCCAGAACATCCACTCACTGGATGGGACTAAACACCACCCCGACATGTGACTGCTGGTACTTGGATCAGAATTGATCGCTCGGTGATACTGTGTGAGTATTGGGGGCCTCACGCCTCATGTAACATCAAAACAATTCGTCATCATCTATATCCCAGACACTCCATGTATGCCATATATGCCTACATTGGGGTGGTTTGGGGGGTCAATGTAGGCATATATGGCATACATGGAGTGTCTGGGTATAGTATGTTCAGTTCCGCCTTTCTATGCCGCCTAGCCCAAACGCCCAGACTTCGCATGTTCAATCAGATCGATGATGTTCACTCGAGCAAACTTGTTTCAACCAGGAGGCTATCGCCCGTCCTGGATGCACATACCGAACGATCGGTACGGTGAGGAAGGACATATACTGAAGGGTCCGGTGCCAGGGTCCGGTCCGGTGGAACCTGAGGTACGGTGAGGCCGACATGTGGATCCCTTTAAGAAATCCAAGATCTCTTCCACCTTCCAAGAGGTCTTTTTTCTGGAGGCTTTTGACTTCAAAGTCGCAGGTGGTGATCTGTTGGTTTCGGTGCTTGAGAAGCTGGCACCGATCGCTTTTTCTCCGATCCACCGAGCGCTGTGTGGAGACCGGACGGCCGTGTGGACGGATGGAACTCAGGCGTTGGAAGAAGGGCGAGTGGGTTTGTGTCCGGCGAGATGGACAACTCAGGCGGGGGACGAAAGGAGCCGAGGAAGACGCGCTTTGCCCATGTTCGGCGCGCGAATTCGGTGGGTGGTTTGAAGATCTACGGAACCGGGGTCTGCGGTTCTGTCGGTGACGGAACCGCGGTAGATGAAATAGATTGAAACAGAATATGGAGAGGCAGCGAGGCGTTGAAGATCGGTTTAGATGGTACCTTTTTGAATACATAGAATAGTTTTTCAGAACGGAGGAGCAACATACAGGTACTCACGTCTTCACTAGATATTCAGAATCCTCACCGAATAGACAAAGGGAATGCAAAACCATCTCGTTCCTGCTGTCACCTGCCCCCCAATGTGGCACTGAACAGCCTTGATACGTACCCGACCCCAAGTGGTTGCTTTCGCATCACCCGTCAACCCCCAGTTACTGACTCGTGCATCGAACTCTTCGTTCCTACTAAGCTGTGGACTCGTGACATGCCACGACTGGTCGCTTCGACCGGTCGCGTCGACTGTTCCGACGGACGATCCAAACGGGTCGGCAGGAACGGACAGCTTGGGGAGAGCGCAGGTGGACCCCACTTTGATGCTGGGTGGAAATGGATGCTGGAGAGTCTTTGACGTGGTCCGGGTCATGAGTCATGGGTAAAAAAAACAGCAAACATGGGTTGGTTTCAGCGTACTTTCATATCTTTCATACAGTCAGGTCAACATGTATGAAAAGGTGTGGGCAAAGTATATAGGAATTCTTCACTCTGGGAGGGTGAAGCCATTTCATGGCCTGTTGGCAAACATCTTGCTCGTGAGCATATAGTTATAAGCAATCTATTTGTCACTGGTGATTTTCAACACAAGCTTGTGGGTGCCATGGCCAGCCATGCCACAAGCTTGAAAAACAGAACACTTCAAGCAGAATGGCTTTGGCAGGGAGCCGCCCCCTCGGCTCCTTGTGTGGCCTACTGACTATTTGGATCTATTTAATCTATTTGGTTAAACGCACCAGTTTGTCTGAAAGCACTCCTCGGACTTCACGGTTCACATGCCTCAATAAATTGGTTTGAGGTTCCCAAGCTGAGAAGTCGGACCACCGTTCTGAACAGGACTAGAGGGTTCTTGGGTTCTTGGCGGTTCCGCGAAGGCAGTAGCTGCAGCAACCATCAGAAACACATCCGATCAGTTGAGGTGGTGGTGGTGCCAGGGGGGTCTGTCTGGGGTGGCAGTCCTTCCTGGCAGTCCCATGGCCAGGTCGTGTCTGGGGGAGGGTTCGCTACTTCGAAAGAAGCCTCCAGGTCCATCCCCTTTAGACAAGTCTCCTCCGTTTGGATGACTTCACCTTCGTTTCATCTCCTCTTTTGGACTCCTGGTGCTCCTGGTACAAAAACCGGACCCTCTGAGTGAAAGAACCTGAGTGAAACCACCTGTGACTGAGTCTCAGCTGGGTGCCACACCTCAGCTTTCTGTCCGAAAAGCTCTGGGCGCTGCTTTCAGGAGGTTCGCTTCTGTGGAGCCTGGGAGAAGATGGAATCCATCCACCGGCCACTTGGGCAAGACGCGCTGGGAGCGGTTGGGGGGACGGTTGGTCCTTGTTGAAAGTCGATGTCTTCTTTCTTTTAATCCATATAGGCTCTATATAGCGTATATAGGCGTAACAATAGGGTGGTTTATGAAATAAGCATCATCTTTGAAAGAATCATCTTAAAACAATTTGGAAGAACTTGTTCAAACAGAAGGTACCAGGACCATCCTTGCTGGGTGTCACAACCTGACTACACTACTAAGGAGTCCAGGACATCCAGACAGGAAGCTCCAGGTCCCCAGCTTTGTCTTTTTTCCACCAGACTTGGCGTTTCCGATGTGAAAAATCCTGAGCACTTCTCCTGCGCCAGTGCCGCACTGCAGGAGATACCTGAAGAAGTTTCATTCATGGGAAGAGGGTGAGGACGGAGCAACATGCGCGCCGGGCCATGAGTGGAGCTTCTATTTGATAGGGCGTATCCACTTTTCAACACTGGCAACTATGATGCGTGCGATAAGAAGTGTTTCATATTCCAGGTGATTCTATCTACTTCAAGAGGACAGAATCTGTTTTGGGGACCTGCGCTTGCACCCTTGAAGTGCCTCTTTCCATCTCATTCCCATCATCATCCCCACCTGTTTAAGTCTTTCAACACAGGGAAAACCTGCACCGCTCACGCTGAGATTTCTGCTAAACATCCATGTGACATTTTGTCAACAAAGCTTCAAACTGAAAAAACATCATGTTCACAGACCTGAACCGAAATTGCTCAACTTCAGTCAGCATTTGGCTTGATACGGCACAAGCTTTTGCTTGATAGCGCACGCTCTTCCCATGGCAAGACGCGGCTGGCAGGACTCGTGGCCAGTCAAGGAGGAATGGGAGGACAGCAGGTGGAACAGCCACTGCAAGAAAGAGCCTCCCAAACCTGACAGCCCTCCAATCCAAGCAACCAAGCAGTTGTCCAACAAAAACAACCCTCCAAAGACTGAGCTGCCAGCTGAGAAACGGAGGAGAGTGGAGGCAAACGCAAGCTCAGCCTCAGGCTCACAAGCAGACGTGAAGCTTCCATGGGATCATCGAATCGGCATGGACTTGAACAAGAAGGCCCCCAAAAAGACTGTGCACAATTTCCTGGCTCGGTACAATTGCAGACCTATGAAAAAGGGTGAGGATTATTCCTATACCACACGGCCATCCCCTGGCGGCTTTGTGGGAGCATTGCATGTGCCCAGCTGGAATGACAACGTCGTCTATGAAGGAGAAGAACGTGAGGACGAAAATGAAGCGGAAAGATCTGCAGCTGAAGCCTTCATCAGCGATCCAGAAGTGATCGCAGCTGCCAACCGGTTGCCTCCTCCTGTCGGTTTCATAGAAAATGAACTTCGGAAACAGATGATCAGCAACAATCAGCGCCCATGTTATCGGGCAATATTCCAGAAATCCCACCAGTACTACCTCACTTACAGGGAGAGAGGCTGCGACAACGTGCTTTGGTCTGGGAATGCCTGAGTGAAAAAGAGCGGTGCTTTCAGTTTGGCCTTCAGTGACAGGTGGTCGACAAGGTGGTCAACACACGCGACTGAAAGTCGTTCCTTCTTCCCAAACCAATGCATGTTTATCTACTTGTCCTACCAACTTTCAGGGTGTTAGGGGAGTTTAGCACCAGTGATGTTGGACATAACAAACGATCATTTTCATTCATGTTCCGATTCTAACAGGCCTTCCTCCTACGCGGCCTCAGGAGAACTTGCGTGTAGGGAGAAACCTGTCTTGGGGGTTCTTCCTTAAACCTGTCAGCCGAAAACCCTATTTTTTGGGTGGAAGAGGTTGAGTTCTATTACAGCCTTAGCTCACCCGGGCGGGTGGCCGGACGGGTTCCGGCGGGTGGCCGCAGGCGTTCAGAGCGACCGTTCAGCGCCGTTCATTCGCAGGACGTGGAGATCCACGATGGTTCAGGCATGCACGGACTCGCGCGTGCACGTGCGTGGCGAGTCCGAGAGGAGGCTGTGAGGCTTTTTTGGCTGTGAGGCGTTCGTTTGGTGTTCCCCAACGAGGAGGTGAGGCTTGACAGATTGGAACAATTGTACGCACAATTCCAGCATGAAACGCTTGGATGGTGTCTATAGTGAGCCTAGTGGTGAAAACTCTGTGGCATTGAAAGCATTTGTTTGTACTCCAAGTGGGGAGTTCTCAAGCTTTCCTGGCCGTTGCAATCCCGCTGTATCAGCTGAGTATGTGCAGATGACCACTTAGCACTTCGGCGTGAGCTGAGTCGAACCTTTTTTGTGGTTTGGAAGGAAGAGTTGCTAAGTGTACTATTATCCAGACCAAGAAGTTGCCCATTTGATTTTAGTGTGAGACAGATCTGAACGTTTGAAGCGAACAACGGGTGTTATGCTGGGCTAAAGTTGTTCGTGGGACAGTCTACTCCAAGACCAGGCACCTTTGTGACACTTCTTTCTGGAAGCAGGCACCAGGCTTGTTTTCTATGTTGATTTCTTGCAAGATCTTGGATTCCCCAAGTTTGGCAGCTCATATATAACCGTGATCTTCCGACTATGCAACATGCCCTAACTTGGCTGCCTTTTTGAGATGAAAAGACAGTAATGTTGCACAGTTGAAAGATCTAGGTCCAGGTATGAAAACCCGCCATCACTCGCTAGCGCCTTGGACGCTTCGCTCCATGCTCTCACTGTGAGGCGGCCCACCCCGAGCAGCGGTGGTGAAGGAAAACTTCGACGCCCGCGGGAAGAAGGTCGCGGGGCTCAGCGGGTGCGGAGAACTGTTTTGTGGAGCAGTTGGACAGAATGGCAGAGTGATCCTGTGGATATGGCGACATCAGAAAGAGTTTCCGATTGGTACACCTGCTTACGACATATAGAGAGTATGATGTCAATGATATCAACAGACTGGCTGATTGCTGAATCTGTTTTGGAACCCACCTGCCACCTGCGTCTGCCCTTCGTGTCCTCCGTTTCTTCTTTAGCGCACGAAGAACCATGCGTCCTTGAACCTCGCCCCAGGACCTCTCGGAACTTCTGGTGAAGGTGGCTTGGACGAGCTCCGGCAGCACGGCCGTCGCCTTCAAGCGGGTCGCAGGTCGGCGGGCGACGCATTCTTCGCATTGGCCTTGGAGGTTAAGGGGTGTCCATGAACCGCCCCTTGTGGGTCCTGGTCCAATGTATTTCTTCAGCCATGGGGCATGACCGGCCACCAGGGCGCAAGGATGAAGCACAAGGCAAGCCGGAGGAGGTGCGGAGCGGGTGCTGGGCGGGGTCAGTTGAAGCAGATTGATCCAGTAGAAGGCGGTGTTCAAACTCCACTGAGAAAGATGCAAAAATGTTCGTTTCCCAACCACCCCCCAGAGAAGAAGCAAATTTTCGTTTCTACAGGGCTCGTCAATGTTGCTGGCTTTTGCATCAGTGGTTGTGAGATGCATGCTTGTGCCGGTTTTTCGTGTGCCAGCTACGTCCACGGTCACCCACGGTATACGCTGGTCCAAAAGTTCACAAGTTAAGCGTTTTTCCCTCTTCCCATTCACTAGGGATCCAAGTAATCCGGTCCACCTATTAAAAAACACGGCCCCCCCCTAATAGGGAAATCTCGGTCGCATTTTTTAAAATTGGGGGTCCCTGAAATCAGGGGGTCCAAAATAGGGTCAGTGGATGTGCAATACTTTGTGGGCCTTGAAGTGCAGAATTCGTGGCAGGTGTAGTACTTTGTGGACCTTGAAGTGCAGATCTCGTGGCAGGCGCAGTACTGTGTTGGCCTTGAAGTGCAGATATTTTCGTGGCAGGTGCAGTACTTGGTTGACCTTGAAGTGCAGATATCGGGGCAGGTGCAGTACTTTGTGGAGCTTGAAGTGCAGATTTCGTGGCAGGTGCAGTACTTTGTTGACCTTGAAGTGCAGATTTCGTGGCAGGTGCAGTACTGTCTTGACCTTGAAGTGCAGAATTCGTGGCAGGTGTAGTACTTTGTGGACCTTGAAGTGCAGATCTCGTGGCAGGCGTAGTACTGTGTTGACCTTGAAGTGCAGATTTCGTGGCAGGTGCAGTACATTGTGGACCTTGAAGTGCAGATTTCGTGGCAGTTGCAGTACTTGGTTGACCTTGAAGTGCAGATTTCGTGGCAGGTGCAGTACTTTGTGGACCTTGAAACAATGAACAGGGTGGACAGAAGGGGTGGAAAGACCGGGCTGTGAGAGGCCTTGTTGGAGGCTTTTCAGGCCGGACACCAGCAGTGACAGACCTGGGAGACAAATGAATAGAAATGCTGCATGGCCAGCGGAAAAGGGCGGACACCAGCAGTGACAGACCTGGGAGACAAATGAATCGAAATGCTACATGGCCAGCGGACAAGGGCGGACACCAGCAGTGACAGAGCTGGGAGACAAATGAATAGAAATGCTGACAGAAAGGGCGGACACATCTTAAGAAAGAATTGAGAACCCCTAACAGTAAACTGTTTCGGGAAAAAACTAAGCAAAATCCTACTAATTCATGAAACGCAAAAGCTAAGTGTGGAGTCAGGCCTGTCGGCGAGGTGGGATAGGTGCTGGTAGAGTCGGAGCTGAGCCAGATCCCATGCACCTCCACCGCCATCGTGAGGGATGGGACCTCGTCTCTGCAGTGTGGAGCTGACCTCCACAGCAACCACTGGTCCTGGTGGAGAAATGGGAAAGGATTTCAACTTCATGAAACGCAAAAGCTATGTTTTTGGTTCGAAAAGCCTGGACTCAGGCCTGTCGATGAGGTGAGCCAGCTCTTGCAAGAGCCGAAGCTGGCTGAGATCTCCTAGAGTCCTAGAGCCGCTTCTGCAGACAGTGGGGCCGGTGGCTTTCGCCAGCCCCCTGTCTTGTTCAAGAGACCTGGTGCAAGACCGGTGCCTCTTGGTACACTCAGCCTCTTGGTTCAAGAGTTGAGAACTTTTCAGAATCCCATGCGCCTCCAGCGCCACCGCCCATCCCGAGGGATGGGACCACGTCTCTGCAATGACCAAGGGACGGGGTGGAGCTGACCTCCACAGCAACCACTGACTCCATAACATGGTCCTAGTGGAGAAATGGGAAAGGATTTAGACATTTATAAAAAAGAATTGAGCAAAATCCTACTAATTCATGAAACGCAGAAGCTATGTTTTTGGTTCAAATATAGAAAAGCCTGGACTCAGGCCTGTCGATGAGGTGAGCCAGCTCTTGCAAGAGCCGAAGCTGGCTGAGATCTCCTAGAGCCGCTTCTGCAGACGGTGGGGCGGTGGCTTTCGCCAGCCACCTGTCTTATTCACCTGGTGCAAGACTGGTGCGTCTTGGTACACTCAGCCTCTTGTTTCAAGAGTTGAGAACCCTTTCAGAATCCCATGCACCTCCAGCGCCACCGCCCATCCCGACATCTCTGCAGTGACCAAGAGACGGGATGGAGCTGACCTCACAGCAACCACTCACTCCACAACATGGTCCTAGTGGAGAAATGGGAAAGGATTTAGACCTTCTGTTGTCCGCTGGCCATGTAGCATTTCTATTCATTTGTCTCCCAGGTCTGTCGCTGCTGGTGTCCGCCCTTTTCCGCTGGCCATGCAGCATTTCTATATTCATTTGTCTCCCAGGTCTGTCACTGCTGGTGTCCGCCCTTTTCCGCTGGCCACGCAGCATTTCTATTCATTTGTCTCCCAGGTGTGTCAGTGCTGGTGTCCGCCCTTTTCCGCTGGTGTCTCCTTTCTGTCTCCCTTTGTCTCCGGTCTTGTTTCCCTTCTTGTTGGTCAGTGTGTCAGTCTTGTCTCCCTCTGTTTCCTTGTTGTCTCTCTTCTTGTTGGTCATTGTGTCTGTCTTGTCTCCCTTTTTTCCTTTCGTCTGCCTTCTTGTCTCTCTTCATTGTGTCCGCCTTGTCTCCCTTCTTGTCTCCCTTTGTCTCCACTCTTGTCTCACTTCTTGCACTGTGTCCGTCTTGTCTCCCTTCTGTTCCCTTCTTGTCTCCCTTGTTGTCTCCCTTCTTGTTGGTCATTGTGTGAGTGTACCAAGAGGCACCGGTCTTGCGCCAGGTCTCTTGAACAAGACAGGGGGGCTGGCGAAAGCCACCGGCCCCACCGTCTGCAGAAGCGGCTCTAGGAGATCTCAGCCAGCTTCGGCTCTTGCAAGAGCTGGCTCACCTCATCGACAGGCCTGAGTCCAGGCTTTTCGAACCAAAAACATAGCTTTTGCGTTTCATGAATTAGTAGGATTTGGCTTAGTTTCTTTACAAATGTCTAAATCCTTTCCCATTTCTCCACCAGGACCATGTTATGAAGTGGTTGCTGTGGAGGTCAGCTCCACATTGCAGAGACCAGGTCCCATCCCTCACGATGGGCGGTGGCGCTGGAGGTGCATGGGGTCTGGCTCAGCTCCGACTCTATCAGCGCCTATCCCACCTCGCCGACAGGCCTGACTCCACACTTAGCTTTTGCGTTTCATGAATTAGTAGGATTTTGCTTAGATTGTTTAATTTTAAAACACACTTTACATTTTTTAACTAAACATTTGAAGTTTTTGCGCGATTTGTTGAATCAATAAAATTCCAGATGTTATAAGGGAAGGAACATCACAAAATAATGTGAAATGTTGTGCTTAACGTTTTAAAACTTGATATCCATTACGATGGTTTTGAGTCACAAACAAAACCATTCAAAAAGTAAAACGGTTCATAAACAAGAATCAACAATCATCAGCTTTTCATATAAAAATAGAGAAAAACACAGTAAGTTCAAAAACGCAAAGGTTTGATTTTAATTCACAATTCAAAACAAAAAATAAAAGAGCATTCAAAAAATCGACCAAAACAAAACAATTCTTCGGCCGTCTTCGTGACTCTCAAGACTTGGGTCTTTGGTCCATCCACTTGGGCACCACGCGCGAGATGGGTCCGCGCACAAGTTTTCTCTCGTTTCGTGCTTGGTGCCCAAGTGGGTGGACGCATGGTTTCTCACATTTCGCGTGTGGTGCCCAAGTGGGTGGACCCAAGTTTTCTCTCGTTTCGCGCTTGGCGCCCATGTGGGTGGACACAACTTTTCCTCATGGACCCAACTCGCGTTTACCCATTTGGGCACCAAACGCAAAATGTGAGCAAACTTGGGTCCACCCACTTGGGCACCACGCGCGAAATCTGAGAAAACTTTTGTGTCCACCCACATGGCCACCAAGCGCGAAGTGAGAAGACTTGGGTCCTCCCACTTGGGCACCGCGCGCGAAGTGAGAAGACTTGGGTTCACCCACATGGGCACCACACAACAATCACGGATGACATGCTATGAACATTTTGGCATTTGAGTGCTTGTGATTTTGGTGAATGCGAGCACGGAATGGCAGAGCAAGACATGCCCGTCATTCACCAGCAGGTATAGAGCAATCAGATCATTGTTCAATTCCAGCTATTTGTCACGAAAGGTAGCCTGGTATGGACTACCTTGAGTTTGCTTTGCGAAGCAAAAGGACTAGCTTGAGAGCCCGCTCGCGACCAAAGATTGGTAGGTCAATGTCTAACACCCCCCCTTCCCATGTGATGACTCATTGATAAATCAATTGTTTTGGTCCGCCCCCTCGGCAGCACCACCAGCATTATCGAGGCGCCATAAGGTGAAGTCATGCGCTAGCAGTCACATTTTCGCCCAAGAGCTTTGAGGAGTACCTTGGAGCAAGTACAACCTATAGTATCCCAAGGAGGTACTTGGGATTTGGCTTGTTTTTTGTTCTTGGAGCCCCCTATAGTTTTGCCTAATTTTGGAGGCCGAGGTGGCACCCCCTCGAGCGCAGGCGGGGCCGTGGGTGTGCCTTTGCAGGGGTTTGCCACGCGTGGTCCGCTAGAAAGTGAGGGAAACGGTGGATTTGCTGTTTTTTGCTCAACTTTGAAGTTGATGTTTGATGAATCCACAGACTGATAGATGTATTTGTGTTGCTTAAACCTTTTGAAACACTTGGTTGTGTAGCAGCTTAGAAGGGATGGTCATCCATTCACAATGGAAGCGTCCATAATTGACACAGCCGCGAAACCTGAGGGTGATTGGGCCAAGGGACACCCACAAAGGTAGTAGTGGTGGTAGTAAGAGTGGTGGTAGTAGCACTGCTACAGTAGCAGTGGCAGTGGCAGTAGTAGTAGTATTAGTAGTGGTAGTAGTAGTAGTAGTGGTCGTCGTAGTGGTGGTGGTGGTCGTAGTAGTAGTCGTAGTCGAATAGTAGTAGTAGTAGTAGTAGTAGCAGTAGTGGTAGTAGTAGTAGTAGTGGTAGTGGTAGTAGTAGTAGTAGTAGTAGTATAATAGTGGTAGTGGTAGTGGTAGTGGAGTAGCGGTGGCAGTAGTCGTAGTAGTCGTAGTAGTAGTAGTGGTGGTAGTAGTAGTAGTGGTAGTAGTAGTAGTGGTAGTGGTAGTAGTAGTAGTAGTAGTTGTAGTGGTAGTGGTAGTGGAGTAGCGGTGGTAGTAGTCGTAGTAGTCGTAGTAGTAGTAGTGGTGGTAGTAGTAGTAGCAGTAATAGTAGTAGTAGTAGAGCAGTAGTAGTAGTAGTAGTAGTAGTAGTAGTAGTGGTAGTAGTAGTGGAAGTGGTAGTGGTAGTGGTAGTAGTAGTAGTGGTAGTAGTAGTATAATAGTTGTAGTGGTAGTGGTAGTGGAGTAGTGGTGGTAGTAGTCGTAGTAGTCGTAGTAGTAGTAGTAGTGGTAGTAGTAGTAATAGTAGTAGTAGTATTATAGTGGTAGTAGTAGCAGTGGCAGTAGTATAGTAGTAGTGGTAGTAGTAGTAGTAGTCGTAGTGGTAGTGGTCGTAGTAGCAGTAGTAGTAGTAGTTGTTGTTGTTGTTGTGGTTGTAGTATAGTAGTAGTAGTAGTAGTAGTAGTAGTAGTAGTAGTAGTAGTAGTAGTAGTAGTAGTAGTTAGTAGCAGTAGTAGTAGTTGTTGTAGTATAGTAGTAGTAGTAGTCGTCGTAGTAGTCGTCGTAGTGGTTGTAGTTGTCATCGTAGTGGTAGTGGTAGTGGTAGTGGTAGTGGTAGTGGTAGTAGTAGTAGTAGTAGTAGTAGTAGTAGTAGTAGTAGTAAGTAGTAGTAGTACTAGTAGTACTAGTAGTACTAGTAGTACTAGTAGTAGTAGTAGTAGTAGTAGTAGTAGTAGTACTAGTAGTACTAGTAGTACTAGTAGTACTAGTAGTACTAGTAGTAGTAGTCGTCGTCGTAGTAGTAGTAGTAGTCGTAGTAGTAGTCGTAGTAGTAGTCGTAGTAGTAGTAGTAGTAGTAGTACTGGTACTAGTACTAGTACTAGTACTAGTACTAGTAGTAGTAGTCGTCGTCGTCGTAGTAGTAGTAGTAGCAGGTGGTGGTGGTGGTTTCGGGCCCAGCTTCGGGCGCCATGTCCAGACAGGTGGGTCACGACGTTGCAGGCGAAGCGCCGAGCGGCTGTGATCGAAGTGGTCGACGACGACGGCGTCGAGAGCGGTGGCGGTGCCGCGGAAAACGTGGTGAAAAGAACACGTTTTGCGGTGCCGAGGTGGGTGTAGTGGGTGCTAGGGGTGTTAGGGAGCTAAGGGAGTCAGTGATAGGGATATGGAGAACAGGCTATTGGAGAACTTCGAGGATGAAACCCAAGTGTTCGGTTTGAGCAGGGTGAGACTTGGAGGAGGAAAACCTAGTCTCTTGATTGAAAAATGGGAATACAGCATACATATTCTGGTATGCACATCCTCTGGCACAAATGATCAAAAACCGGGAGCCGGGTCCAGTCATCCTAGACGTTCATGGCGATGACATGGCGGGACATGTCATGGTGAGATCACGGCAGTTGAGATAACGTGACCCGGCCCGGTGACCCTGTGTGGCCTGGCCAACTGTGGTGAGCTGGAAGGTCCTCGGGAAGAATACTGGTAGGTCTTGCAGTGGAGACGAAAAGGCTACGCTGCTTGAGGGAGAGTAGTACAGCTCAATCAGACATCCACAGTGGGAGGAGTGCTGCTTGGGACAATAAGGAGCGCTAAATCCAGTGCCCTCAAACTTGAAGGCCAGGACTTAATTGAACATCGACTGCAACTGAAAGCAGTTTTGGGCCTGGAATTCCTCTACCTTTATTCGCAGCCATATATAGGCAATGTGGACACATATGGAGACATTCCCTTTGCGCACCAGTCCTGCCAGGCTTTCTACATGTGGTGACATGTCGATGGTTGGGAACATGCCCATGTCGATGTTGGCAGAAAGGCGTATGCATATGGAGGTGCACTGAAAACCGAAGGTTTAGATGTCAATTTCAGTGAAAAAGACGTCGACACTTTAGAAGTCGATCATACGCGACTTGGATCGACTTGGTATATGGTTCCAGAACTCAGCCCGAAGATGGGGAAGTTGCTTGTGTCGGACACCCCCGCAGGGCCCCCGCATCAGCACGCGCTATAGTCGCCAGAACCCCAAACCCGCCATGACGCGACGCCACTGCGATGCAGTGACGCGACTGCGAGTGGCTTCCTTCAACATCCGAATGGAAACCAGTGAGCCTGACCCAATGGACCGCGTTTGGAGGGTGGGGGAAGTGGGGAAGAAGTGGTGCACCCTGGAAGTTGTAGAGTGGAGGAAGCAGGTTGGACTAGAAGTGCCCAGTGACCCCAAACATGCAATTGTTTGACTGCTGGAATTCTGACAACCTTTACGCCTTTGGCAGTCCAAGTCTTGTGACATCTTGTTCTGTTGTGCACGCCAAGTCACTCGCCATGGACGTGTACTTTCCTAATTTTTTCTTTGTACCTTAGCTTGTCCCACATGGATTGTTCTTTGCGAGTTTTCTTGACGATGTCAACCATTTCTGGTTCTTGACAACAGATGTTGGCGGTAGAGTTCCAGTGGGTCCCCTGAAACCGCGAGATGGGTCGAGCCGCCCCTGAAACAAAGCGGGATGAGCGTTTGGAGCCGTGATGTGGAGGGTCAGCGTTTGGAGTGAAACACCCTGAAACTGAGGATTGGGCTGTGGGATCTATAGGGCATGGACATGGGTGTTGATTGTTAAACATAGACACGTTCCGTGTCTGGGACTGGTATGTTTACCGATCAGGCCAGGGGTGGTTGAACAATGGATGAATCAAAAGGGGGGCAAACTATTCAATACAGCAAAGGGCATCGCGGACCCGAACGGAACAAGGACGAACCCGAACGGAGCGGCATCGGGCCCGAACGGAGCAAGAAGCGAATGCTTCACGATCGGTATGGTCCAGAGAATGTCCTTTCCTGCAGGACAACTGGAGCAAGCGAAAACGTGCAGTGCTGACGGCACTCGTTGATTCAGGTGCTGACATTCTTGGCTTGCAAGAAGTGAAGCCAGATCAACTGCAATTTCTGGTTTCTTCTCTTCAATCACATGGATATCAGCACGTCGGTGTGGGTCGAGGGAAGGATGGCGATGATGAAGCCAGCCCAATTTTCTTCAAGGAGGATGTCTTTGATCTTCTGAAACATGACTCTAATCTGCCCAGTTTAGATAATGTTTCAACTCTTTGGTTTCAAAAGAACCACCTCCAAAAAGACTGAATATATTTGAAAAAGAAACATATGCAAACATACATGTAGCACTTAGAGTATTTGTATGTTTGTTTTATTATGCGTTCTTGTTTCAAAGTTTTACTTTTTCTTGTGTTTGATTCCTTTGGATTCCCAAAGCTTTGAATCACTCTGGCCAGAGTTGTGTAGAATGGTACAAACCTGTCCCATTACCAGTCAGTAAAGGATTATCACTCTTTTTGAGACGGCAACATCCTGCAACCTAACCATCATCCACTTAAACCTGGTAATGGGATAAGACGAGCATCCGTTGCAATGAGAATATCACACGTTTCTCGCTGCTCAGGACCAGCGCTGGTTGTGTGAGACTCCTTCCGTCCCTGGATCGAAGCTGCTGGATGCTGGGTGTCCTCGAATCGTGACGGCGGCGCTGCTGGAAACCAAAGCCTCCCAGGAACGGTTCTTTGCCTTCTGTGGCTTTGAAAAAAACAACACGCATCGGCATCGGCATCGGCATCTGTGGGCCTTTCCGACCGAAAACACGTTCAGAACAAAACACACATGAAAAAGAGATGAGAAGAACATGGTTGAAAGGCAATCTGTGTGTTCTGTTTGAGGAGATACAGGAGCTTTGAGGTTTCAATCGCATGTCCAACATGTTTTTTTTGGGCAGAGACCATTAGAAGGAGATGCGACTGGACTTTTCGGGTGCCAAGCTGTAGAGGCACTCTGATCAAGACTTCAGAATTCTTCACCACAGTTTTTCCGCAAAGTGCTTTCGCACAAGGAAACTGATGACACCAAGTTGTTCCATCCGGGAATCGAAGACACGTTGAAACCATTTGAAACCAGAACATGATACACTTTGGCTGTCTTCAGCACCCTATCACGTGTTCTCACCCTATCACGTGTTCTCGAGGTTGCCATTTGGACCACCGGGGCATGGATCGTGCGGCTTTGCCCTTCTCCGCTGGGCTTCAGATCCAAGCAAAGCAGGCAGAGATCTTGCTGGACCAGGTGCTGGACCCAAAACTGTCAGCTGTCCTGACCGTCCTGGCTTGTTAAGCGCCCGTCAGTTGGTGATTTACCGCATATGAACTTCTTTCGAAGGCCATTCGTTGGGTTCCAGAGGTTCTTCCTTTGACTCGTGTGGCTCGTGAGGTGTTTTTCCTTTGGGTTCACTGCTCCCTGGACTGCCCAATCCCAACCAGAAACAGTTCTGCTTGTTCCGGCAAAGTTGATCCTTTTGCATTCATTCTTGTGATTTGTGTGTGGAAACATCCCTAGCTTGTGTTTCTGTTTGGGAAAGGGTTTTCCCATATCGTCTCAAGACGGGTTTGAGTCGAAACTTCGTGCAAAGCAGCAGGTCGATGCTTTTTGCGATGTGTCGTCCAGCACCTCAGAGCTGGGCGTCGCCGTGGCGCCGCGGGTGATTTTGGGTGATTTCAATTCCTGGCGGAATGCAGGAGCTCATCTGGTGCTGTCTCAACGAGGATACCAGGACTCGCCCAGAAAATCGAGAGAGTTTAAACTGTTATCGTCTATAGTCCATGAACACAATTCCTTTGGAATCCTTTTGAGAGTTCATCATTTCAATCAAAGTGAGTGCCAGTTCCAACACCCCCCTCTTGCCCCTCCCTCCCTTTCCCCCGATCTCCCTTGCCTCTCCTTCAGGAAGCCTCCAGCGACTCGTCAAAAAGCTGGATCGATGGACAGCCCACCTTCACAGGCTTCCGCTCGGGACCGCTTTGGCGACGACTCCTGGAGAGGTTCCTGAGCGTTCAGATCGACTGGATCTTCGCTAAGGGCCACGTCCCCTGGAAGAAACAACCAGCAGTCACAAAGGGGTGCCGAACTTGGAGGATAAGGGTTCCCATCAAGCCATCCCTTGGTGACTCCTGGAAGACAAAAAGAAACCATGGGTGGTGGTTTCAGATATGTTCAAACTTGACTCGGGATGATTGAACCCACTGACTCATGTTTTTCAAAGGAGTTGAAACCACCAACCAGATGTCGGAACGTCAACACGTCGAGCGGACCGTAGTAGAATGGTCCGGACCGTGCGCGCCCTATTTTTGTGGGGGTAGGTCCAAGGTTTGTTTGGGCCCAGCTGAATGGATTCATGGGTCGGTGTTGTGTTTCCCGACTTGCCAGGTGAGGGTGGTTGTTTGATTTTATCAGAGATGTCCTCCTCCTCCTCCTGCTCCTCCGCCGGTCCTCAACTGCAAGTGCGGGATCACGATTGGCACCGCCGGACCTCCACCTCAAGTGCTGGATCGCAGTGGGCACTGCCGGGCCTCAACCGCCAGATAGAATGCCAGAATGTATGCTAGATAGAATGCCAGATCGCCAAAATGCAGGCCAGATAGAATGTCAGGGTATATTGCAGATTTGAGGTTGCAATTTATGGCAAATAGAACTATGATATTTTTTTGTAAAATATGCTAGATAGAATAGTATATATGCTAGATAGAGTGTCAGCAATTATGCAAGATACGGCGCCAGAATGTATTCCAGATAGAGCGTGGGAATGCCAGATAAGATGCCAGAACGTTTGCTAGAATCTATGCCCGATAGAATGTCAGAATACATGCCCGATAGATGTCACGAAAGGTAGCTTGAGCTACCTGAGTTCTCCTTGCTTTAGCAAAAATGTATTACAATCAGGAGTTGGGATTGTGCATTGAATTTGGTCCTGTAAGAGTTGATTCTGTTCGTCGGGGGGGGGGGGCCCCCCCCCCGTGGCAGGGAATAATTGGTATAATGCGATCGAACTCTCTTGGATGATTCTTGCAAGGATGTTGAATGTGTGGCTACTGCTACTTGCTTCATTTTCCTTTTTGTGTACAAAAGGAGTTGACCCAGCCAATCCTTCTACTTCAACAAAAACAAATCTGTTGCATACTCCTCCCTTTGTTGGCTTGCTGCACGGGGCGTCACCTGCCTGCTGCTTCTGCCGTTGTTGCGGATTGACGAAGGATCATACAGTCCAGTGTGTTTATTTGTCTTCTTGCTTCGGAATCATAAAGCTGGTCGGGTGCGTGCAGGAGACAAATGGCCAGTATGTCTCTGATCTTGCTTTTTGCTTCTGCTTGGCAGAGCCTATCCCTCATCTCCTGTACCTCCAAAGTCTTGAAGGATGACTGCCTGAAGGAACCACAGCTACCTCCTTTTCTTGCATCTGTTTTCCAATTCTTGGGTGGGTCGAAGGATCAGGGCTGGAAGGGCCCCAGGGTTGCTACGCGGACGGGTCGTATACACCGATGGTAAGGAGCCACAACCTGCACCGCAAGGTCATCATCTTTCATTATGGTGTTTCGGGTGGAGAAGGAGACCGAAACTTGTATGAAGAATTTAGGCTGCGTGGTTGGAGTGTCCACCAAGTTCCATGCGCTCTTTTGCCTTCTTGCGTTGGTGTTTGCTGCTGGGGCGGACAGGTGGCCAATTGCTTGTTGAAAAAGACGTTGTTTCCACGTTCCTCTCTTTTCATCTCTTGAAATTTTCTTGTTGTACGCAAATACAAGTGGAAGGCTGGCTCGACTCTACTCTAGCCGCCGGCTAAAAGGGCGCAGGTGAAGTACTCGTCATCTTCTCTAATTGTGAGCCGTTCTGGACGACTACCTGTCACCTCTCTTCTTACCGTGCGTTGAAGGGCTGCACAAGGCTAGTCTCATCCTCTCTTGTTGCAGCTCTAAAACTTTCCGTGGAAGGGTTGCTACTTCAAGGAACCAACAGGTGGCTATTTCTCATCTTCTCTTGTTGCATCTGTCCTCCAAGCGTGGGTGAAAGGATTGTTCGTTCAAGGCAGCAAGGGGTTGCAACCTCTCACCTTCATGGTGCATTTGTCCTCCAAGTTTGGGTGGAGGGGTTGCTGCTTCAAGGGGCCAAAAGAGTCTCTCGCTGCATCTTCTTCCAAAGCAGCTAAGGGTTCTCTGCACTATTGTATTGCTATATACTGGAGTGGTCAGGTGGCCAATTGTTTTTTGAAAGGAACCGAAGGGATGTTGTTTCCACGTTCTTCTTCTCTTCTCTCGTGTTTTGAAATTCTCTTGTTGGTGGAAGCGTGGCTCGACTCTACCCTAGGCACCGGCTACGAGGGCGTAAGTGAAGTATCTGTCATCTTCCCCATCTCCCTCTGAACCTTTCCGGTTAATCCGTGTTATTTTGTCTTCTTGAACCACCTTCCCAAAGCTTAATGGGCGCGTTAACGGACTGCAAGGCTAGTGTCTTCCATTCTCGCTTCTTGGCTGGTATCTCTTATCTTGCCTTCTTCCTTCTGCGCCCCAGTCTCCCAGAGGTTACTCTCATCCTTCCTTGCTGCACTCCAAAGCTTTCTGTGGAAGGGTTGCTACTAGAGGGTGACTTTGTGGGTGAAAGGGTTACTGTCCAAGGGGGCAAGGGGGTGCCACCCCTCACCTTCTCTTGGCGCATCTGTCCTCCAAGGCTTGGGTGGAGGGCTCGCTGCTTCAAGGGAAGATGGGGTCTCTTGCTGCATCTCTCTTCCAAAGCAGCTAAGGCTTCTCTGAACTATTGTCTTGCTACTGTGGCTAATTGTTTTTGAAGGGACGGTTTTCTCCCAAAGCTGCTAAGGGCTCTCCAAACTATTGTCTTGCTACTGGAGGGAACCGAAGGGAAGCTGGCACGTTCTTCCATTTTCCTATCCGTCTTGAAATTCTCTTGTTAGTGGAACCTTGACCGACTCTACCCTAGGCACCGGCTAAGAGGGCGCAGGTGAAGTATCCGTCATCTCCTCCACCCCCCTCTGAACCTTTCCAAATTACTACCTGTCATCTTCTCTTCTTGAACCTCCTTACCAAAGCTTAATGGGAGGAACTTCACGTTAAGGGGCTACAACATTCTCGCTTGTGGTCAGTATATCTCTTATCTTGCCTTCTTCCTTCTGTCTCCCCAAAACGTTCTGTGGCAGGGTTGCTACTTCAAGGAACCAGAGGGTTGCTTTTCTCTTGTTGCAACTGCCCTCCAAAACGTGGGTGAAAGGGTTACAGTACTTGTTCAGGGAGCAAGGGGTTGCCACCTCTCACCTTCTCTTGGTGCATTTGTCCTCCAAGTTTGGGTGGCTGCTAAGGGTTCTTCGAACTATCGTCTTGCGATTGGAGTGGCCAATGGTTTTTGTGGGTTGGCGGAAGCGTGACTCGACTCTACCCTAGGCACCGGCTAAGAGAGTCCGTCATCTTCTCTACCTCTGATTCTCTTCAGGTTGCTACCTGTCATCTTCTCTTCTTTAACCTCCTTCCCAAAGCTTAATGGGAGGAACTGCTCGTTGAGGGGCTATAGAAGGCTAGTGTGTCTCCCATTCTCACTTCTTGGCTGGAGTGGCCAGTATATCGCTTATCTTGTTCTTCCTTCTGTTTCCCAGTCTCCCAGAGGTTATCTCGCATCGTCTCTTGCTGCGTCTCCAAAACTTTCTGCGGAAGGGCTGCTACGTCAAGCAACCCAAGCGTTGCTATCCCTCACCTTCTCTTGTTGCACCTGTCCTCCAGAGCTTGGGTGGTTGAAGGGCTGCTGCTTCAGGGGACAAAGGGTTAGTATATATATATATAGCTGTCATCTTGCCTTCTTCCAACGGAGGCGCGTCAGCCTCCCGAGGCCAGCAAGGTCAATGCTTGTTTAATGTAAATGGTTCATTACATGAAAACATATGTGTATGTATACATATATTGACATGATGTCTACATGTAAAACAGAAACAGTGATCATATCTATTTGCTCAGACTTTACTTATACGTTTGTGCTTCCCAGCCCCAATCCAGAAACAGACTAAAGTTAGAGCTAGTTTATTTAACTTGATAACTTTATTCTTTTGCAAGAGTTGATCAAATGGCCAAAAAAAAGGGTTGAAAAGGAACCACGTTGAATTGATTGGGTTAATTTATTTGGTAACAAAACTAAAATTTATAGTTAAATATGTTAAAAGAAGAACTTGTTTTTTTGAATCTATTTTGCTTAGCTTAGTTGAATAATATGCTTTTTTTATGCGTTAAATAGAAGCATTTTCCAAGCCATACCCTGCAATGAAGCAACGTCAAAAAAAAAGCAAGGCGTTGGCATAGCCAAGAGGGAATGAACCAATGATATAAAATTATCAGTTCATGGCTGCATTAAAGAAACTCCTTGTTCAAGCGTCAACCATGTCCGTCAAACGTAGCAACTTATTACCACACCCTATTGTTTGTAGAGAAAAAGTTCATACCATCGGCATCGTAAACCACGTCAAAGAGTCCCAGAATTCTTCCATAGGACACCTATCGGCTGCACCTAGCTTGTCTACAATATCAAAGTCCATACACGACATAACATTAACGAAAAGATTTTGGGCAAGAGGGGCGCCCATCCTATTCCTGTCCTGCACATTGCTTCCAATTGTCAGTACATCACAAAGTACCATTCACAACAAAATGTTCTTTGTAACAGTCTCCAATAACTTCACAGAAGTGCAAACTGACCCCCATCCGTTTTAATACCAAGATAAGCTTATCATTTTGAATTTATCAGGCCAAACAAGTAAGACCACCAAAATGACTCGACCAAACAAGTAAGGTGAACCCTTAGATGCAGGATAGTTTGGGTTCTGCAGACACATATATGACGTGGGATGTTGAATTTCCAAGGCGAAGACCCTGTTGAGCTTTCGCTATATTGTCTTCGCCCGGCGTCAGCTGGCCAGGTTGTTTATGCTTTTTGGTTGCCTTCAACGCCGATTCCAATTCATCCAGTCTACAAAGACATTCATCTGCGTTTTTCCCGTCGCAAATGCCAGAACTGTCAGGCGCGCCAGCTGCAGAGTCATTTTTCTAGTGCTTCATCTCAAGATATTTTGCGATAGTTTGCGCTCGTTCTGTTGATTTTCCGTTGATTGCTTTGAGATAAACCCCGTCTCTTTGAGAGACAGCTTCCGTGCAAGACTTCCTTGGCCACCTTCTTGGCTCGTTCTCGGAGTTGAGTACTCCAATTATATCTGCGCACGGTGCAATTAATTCTTCGTTCCTTCAAAACTCTTGCACGTCTACAGTGCAAATAGAAAGTCTCTTCTTGACTCACGCGACTCCGAGATTTCGTCGTCAAACCTGGAAAGGGTTCTGTTCCGGGGCGCCTTTGAGAAGGCTGGTGAGACCTGAGCTCCTTGCCTCCTTTGGCTGCTGCCACAAAGCACTCCGTGGCTTTTCTGTGTCTTTCTTGAGCTCTTCGTCGTTTTGTCTTTCATCCAGTCTTGCTGCTGCAAACCTCATCGCGTAAGGGTATCTGCTTTATGTGGGATATCTGGTGTGATCTTTGTGGGCCGCTTTCCATTCCACGTGTCAGTAGTGCTTGAGGATTTCAATCTGACGCTTGTTTGTAACGATTGCAACGACGCCTCTGTCTTTGTCATATGTGGCCTTTGCTGTAACTTTCCTCGAATTTGAGGTCGTAGAGCTGCTTGTCAGTAGTTCGGCGTGAGAGCTGTGTTGCGCCAGTATAGCCTATGGCTTGCGTGAGGCTCATGTTGATCGCCAGGTCTGCTTTGGTGATGACTAGCTTGCGCTATCTTCCCTTCCAATGCTGTAGGCGGTGTTCCTGGTAGGCCCAGTAGTGTAGAGTGTAGAGACGAGTTTGTGGAGAAGCTTGTGCAAACAATTTTAAATTTGCAAATTCAATATGCGACCCGACTTTTATAAATTAGAACAGTAGATACAATACTTTAAATGCAAGCCGGTATTATTAGAAGCTTGAGCACGCTTAAGTTTTGAATAAATCATATAGGTTGAATTTAAATAGTTTCTCTTGATGCGGGCCCTCACAAATCCAGGTATCAATTCTACAATTAATGATTGTAATGTATAAATTCTATATAAACTAATAGTAAAATATTTTAATTTGCGCCCTGAGTAAGAAAACTAATGTGTGTAATTTTTTAATTGGGAACTTCACAAACCTAGGTATCAATTTTTTGTTGAACGTATTTTTTTATGTAAATCATTGAGTTCCTTAAATAACATAAATATGCGCCCTTATGAAAAATATTCCGGTTGTATTAAATATGTAATTTGTGTAATAAAAATTAAACAAGTTAAATATACGCCCTTATTAAAAAATTCAATTTATTTTGTTTACTCAATTTAGTTAATTTAGTTAAATACGTGCCCTCTTAAAGAATGTATGTTTTTTCATTTAAGTCGGATCTTCGTAAATCTAGGTAACAGTTAAGATGTTTAATTTATCTAACGTATTGAAATTGTTTAGTCTATGTAAGTGTTTAATTCGAGTCTTCGTAAATCTACTAATTTTAATCATATATAAATCTACAATTTAAAATGCACTCTTATTGAAAAACATTTAGATTACTCTATTTATTCCATCGTGTTAATTTACTTCATGCGGCGTCCCGCAAACCTAGATATCGTGTAAATACGTGGTTCGCCAAATTTGTTTAATTCAGGTACTTGTAAATTCATGTATCAGTCTACTATACTTATCAAAGTTACTTAATTCATTTAACTACTGTAATATACTAAATATGTGCCCTTACTAAGCGTGTATACGCTCTCAAAAAATGGACAAATTATGTAATCTACGTTCTTTAGTTTAATTAACTTATGATATATATATGTATATGTTTGAACAATGTTACTTAACCTATTTAATTCGAGTCTTGGCAAATACAATTATCAAGCTATTAATTAAATAAATTGAGAATTCGCCCTTATTCAAAATATTTAGTTAATTTAATTTATGTAATTTATTTAATTCGAGCCTTTGCAAATTCAGGTATCAATTTAATATTTAATTTATTTAATTTATTTTATTTATTTAATTCATTGAATTAATTAAATAAATTAAATATTCGCCCTTATTAAAAATATTTAATTTATTTAATTTATTTAATTCATTTAATTAATTAAATAAATTACATATTCGCCCTTATTAAAAATATTTAATTTATTTAATTTATTTAATTCAATTAATTAATTAAATTAATTAAATATTCACCCTTATTAAAAAAATAAGCTATTTAATTTATTTACTTCATTTAGTTATATTGAGTAATTAAATATTCGCCCTCATTAAAGATATTCAATTTATTCTATTTATTTAGTTTATTTAATTCGAGCCTTGGCAAATCCAGGTATCAATTTAATATTTAATTTATTTAATTTATTTAATTCATTTAATTAATTGAATGAATTAAATAAATTAAATAAATTAAATATTTTTAATAAGGGCGAATATTTAATTTATTTAATTAATTAAATGAATTAAATAAATTAAATAAATTAAATATTTTTAATAAGGGCGAATATTTAAGTTATTTAATTAATTAAATGAATTAAATAAATTAAATAAATTAAATAAATTAAATATTAAATTGATACCTGAATTTGCCAAGGCTCGAATTAAATAAATTAAATAAATTAAATAAATTAAATATTTTTAATAAGGGCGAATATTTAATTTATTTAATTAATTAAATGAATTAAATAAATTAAATAAATTAAATAAATTAAATATTAAATTGATACCTGAATTTGCCAAGGCTCGAATTAAATAAATTAAATAAATTAAATATTTTTAATAAGGACGAATATTTAATTTTTTCATTAATTAAATGAATTAAATAAATTGAATAAATTAAATATTTTTAATAAGGGCGAATATTTAACTATTTAATTTATTAAATGAATTAAACAAATTAAATACATTAAATATTAATTAATACCTGAATTTGCTAAGGCTCGAATTAAATAAATTAATAAATTAAATATTTTTAATAAGGGCGGATATTTAAATAAGGGCGAATATTTAATTTATTTAATAGTTAATTAATTAACTATAAATATATATATTTCTATTTTATTGGTGTAGATTCATACTAAGAGTCAATAATCGCATTATACTGATTATTCCCTCGTACCCCCCCCCCCCTGGATCACATCCCCCCTGCGCCGGTTCACGCCGTCGTGGACTTCTACCAGGGTTACTTGTGATTGCCTGCTACCTTTCGTTCACCCGCTCCTCTCTCAAGTTTTCATGGTTTCGTGAACCGACCACAAGAAGCTAATACAGCTGCGTATGTAATAGGAAGGCCAATCTCACAGCCAAGCACGGCGGATAACATATAGAAGGTGAACAATATAATTCCTGAGAGTGCCAACAAGAAGTGCGAAGAGCAGATTGCATTTTAGAGCCTGTCATGCGCTTCCATCTTCCAAATCGCCTGTTAGGGTGGGGATCACTCGAAGTAAAGTAATTTTGTTTTGTAATGGTGTTTTTTGGAGCCCCTGGGTGTTAGGGATGATATCGCCTTGTGTGTGTGTTCTTTTTTCCCCGGACCTCCCCGAACCGTCTTCAGGAAAGAACCGACGGCGGGCAGATGTTGTTCAGACAAGTACTCATTCCCGAATGTCTTCCGGAAATCTTCCGAGGTCCGGTGAAACATAATACAACGCCAGATGCGGCCCACATGGTCTCATACAGAGGACCCCTATAATAGATCGAGTTTGCGCGGTTCCAACATGAATCGAACCACAGGGCGCTTGGGCCCCATCCACAGGCCCTTGGGCACCATCCGGCCTGCTCACGCACCATTGAGGTGACTCTATCGAAGTATGAGGTTGGGCCCGGCAGCTACATGGCCAGTGATGGCAGAACTCGAAATCTCAGTGATCACCTGATGATCGCAGCTGATGTTTGCTTGCAACCTGATGCTGCTTAGGCTGTGAAAAGGCTAAGTTGGCTCAGCCTTGTAGGTAGAATCCAGGCCCACCAGGTTAGGCCAAAAACACCTGGTTTTCAGTGGAGTTTCGCCACTCGCGTTGCTTGGGGATGAAGTTCATGACCTATCACATCTTGTCACTGTGGCAGTTGGTCAGCTGATTGGCCCAACCTGAATCCGATGTGCAGATGATGACGTGGGCAGTCCCTTGCATCCATAAAAGGGTCAGACAGGTTGCAGTTAAGTGGAGGTTCACTAGCTCAGCCACATGGCTGGCTGCAGAACCCGCTTATTCGGACCAAAGGCGTTCTTCGGCTGTACAGATCCTGAAGATGCTCTTCTCAAAAGGACCTGCGATGAACTCTTTTCTCCGGACGCCGCCAGCTTTATCCCCTTTATCATAGATAATTCAGCATATCTTATTCATTATATATACATCATAATTATATATATATATATATTATATATAATATACATTATTATTTGTTGTATACTATTACTATCAATCAAAAAAGGCGCTTCCGCCAGTCGCTACTCTAATATTTAAAGTTTAGTAGCTCCTTTAATAAGCTGCCAACCTGTCCGAGTGAGTCGCGCCGTGTGAGTCGCGCCCCATGCCGCGTGGCACGTGTGACCCGCCGCCGCGCGACGGTCGAGTGGCTCAAGCTCCTGCGAAGCTCCGGGACCTGAAGCGGCCCTGGATGATGCTGGAGTGCCCTGGACGAGATGGGCGATTTTTTGGCATTGGGGGCGTGGCGGAGATGGAAGCGACATAAGATACACTTAATGATATCAGTTTGTTTTTTGGTGTTGAGGTTGGGCGTATAGAATTGGTTCAAGATGTTATGGATGGCATGCACTCGGCTTGCCATCCAGCGAGACTTCGATGCCAATTCGGAACGAGGAACGTCACCAGTTCGGTTGACCAGCTTCGACCCCGGGCAGGGGAACTGGGGCTTCAGAGAAGGCAACAAGGCCTAAGAACGTGCTTCAAACAAGTTGACAAGGGCATGTGATTCACAGTGATACAAGAGCTATCTTAAAGTGTAATTAAAATTTGTAAGTCATGCATGTCACTAAGTTGACAATAGATTGATCCTTTCCCTTTGGCCAAAAAGAGATATCCTTTCCCTTTGCTTTGAGAACCATTTAGAGTAATACATCACTACACCTGGTATGTGATTTCGATTGTGTAAGATTCGAATCACACCAGTCCTACATCTTAGGATTGGTTTTAACTGCAAATTCCTGCTTCTCCGAGGCTAAGGGATCGTGTGGCTTGGAGCAGAGGCAGCATCGGGTCGACCTCGACCGCTGCGGCACCGGCCGTGTGAAGCGAAGGATGTGTTCCGATAGCAGGACCCTCCTGTCGGGGTGCCCTGTCTGGAAGCCTAGGCCGGTAGTGTGTCCAGCCAGGACACCCCGAGGGTCGGAGGGTCCAGGTATGTTGTGTATGTTTGTTTGGTCGTTCTTGGTCGGTTTTATAGGGCAGTCCGATGGAAAGATGGAAAGACAGTCCGAAGCAGCGGACATCCAAATATTATACGGCTGCTCGTGTTGACTTATGGACTTGACGTTTTGCACTGACGTGGTTTCCATTGAAACCGCCCCACAGAACTTTCAGATCTGGCCAGCTACTTGATGCCCAGCTACTCCTCATCCGTTTTCGACTCACCGGCGCAAGATATGCTCATCCTGAAAAGATTCTGTTTGAGCTCCGCTTCCAACTCAACCCTCACAGTTTTCGCAAGGCTTGACCAGTTCCATTTCCAAAGGATTTGCATATTAAATTCATGAGGAGTTGATGCAGATCTGAGACATGGCAAATGGCAAGAAGCCAAGGCCAGGGATGGGAGTTCTTGGTGTTTTCACCATCAATGATCTGAGTCTGCGGATGTCCCTGGACATTCTCTGGGTGAAGGATTTGGAGACGTTCTCCAGCCGCCTCACGAACTGCGCCTCACGTTGCAGTACTTACTGGCGCCACTTCGGAGCACATGCAGTTCCTACCCTGGGAGGGTAGCAGTGTCAACGTCAGACTCTGGCATTCGGACGCAATGTGGAGGAGCAAGTTGCGGACGATGAGGATGCAAACGTAGAACAGAAGTAGGTGATTCTGACCAACCTTGCAGTTGGGAGATGGCAGGTCCAGGACCAGGACCATATCAAAGAAGTCACTCGCCGGTTTGCTGCTCAGAAGATGCATGCAAGCCCAGCATCTCTCTAGCGCCAAAGAGAGGCCCGCTGCAGCTATGCAAGCAGGCTGTCGAGGCTGTCGAGAGTTCATCGGAAGCATCGGATCTTCAGCTTCTGGATAGATAGCGTCACGTTTGTGGAAAAGAGGGGCAGACGCATGCACAAACTCTGGTGTTTGCAAAGCAGACCGCCTTTTCCTGTTTCACTGAACTGTCTCTACCTCAGCTTAAAGAGAAACTGTGGGCCACTTGCCTTACAAAACCCATGGTGCGTAATGATGCTGCTTTACTTTAGCCCCTTGCTTTCGCCCCGCGTCGTGCTCAAGACACCAAAAGGACACCTGTCTGCCGCTTGAGCAGTCTCTTTTCAAGCAGCCTCTTGCAGCAAGACCAGCAAGACCCTATATAAGCTCTGCGGACACGGAATGCGGACGCCCTGCCGAAGCAAGCAGCGAGCTGAGCCTTGGCTACCGGAGAAACACGGCGGAAGATCGCAGTTCCTTTGTGTGTCCAGAACAAAGCGAAAGGAGTTCAACCTCAGACCTCAACTGGACCATGGACATGAAAACCAAGCAAAATGGGTCTATTCTGGTGAACAGGAAGACTCTTCCGATCGCCCCAAGGGTCATGATCTTCTAATTGGCCCTTCACCTGGAAGCTATACTAGGTCGAACTCGTGGGGGTTTCCTTCGCTCCCGAGGATGATGAAGGCGAACTCGCCCCCCCCGCGGAGTTCGCCAGGCTATGTGCACCTCATGCAGGACTCGCAACCGCCGAGCCCCCGTGAGACCCACCAGGCACGGCCAACGCCGGCACAGGGCGAGGGGTATCGAAAACTGGCATGGTGGCACAGAGGGTGGCGGCTTTTGCATGCTTTTGCATTGAAGAATTCGTGATCATTGGAGGGCACATGAGGGCCTTACCTGTTGGGGTCTTCGGTTCAACTCGGGGGTCGTCCGAGTCTTTCAGGGTGCCATGCCACATCATGCCACCCATAGGGTCCAGGTACCTCCTGAGGATGGTCGCACGACGGCGCCGAAGGACGTCCAATTCGGATGGTCATGGAATGTCATGGACCCTTATATGGCCTTAGGGAGAGTCAGTTTTCCACCGAGGTCAGGGGATGTACGAGTTAAAGTTCAATCTCGGAAGAAGGTGAGTGCGACTTAGTCAGTGCAGGCACAGTGTATTGATCTGATTGCCCTTTGATCATCTTTGATCCATCAACCCCAGAATGCTGTGAATCCCTACCAATTCCCCAAACACACCTCCCATGACCGCGCTTGATCAATCTTGATGCACGCCGCTTCTCACCGCCTCATCAGCCTTTCTCCCCCCCAAAAGCATCTTCTCGTCCGTCCTTCCACCTTTCGCGAAAAAGAACGCCCGAACATGTCGACCGCGGTTTTCCCCAACGGTCGACCAGCGACGTGCCCCAACGGTCGGTCGTCGGCCGGCGAGATCAGGTGCACCGGCCTTCCTGCGGACGCTTTCAGGGCTTCGTCACCATCTTGGTGGCCCTGCTGCTCTTAGGTATCGGTAGGACCGCCTGGGAGCTGCTGCTGGGAGGATCCAAGATTGGTGGCGAATGGGCGGCTGGGTGCGGAGCGTGAAGTGGGTGAAGTGGTGGGAATGGCAGGCTGAAGAATGGTGCCTTGAAATGGGACAAGGCCATACAAGGCCAGGATGAAGATGAGGCTGCAAAATCGCCATTTGGGCAGCGGAATCAACCAAGAACTCAAGATGTTGTGCATGTTGGTTTCCATTTCAACGATCTCTAAACAAACTGATGTCTCCAGTGGTACCTAAAAATGTGCTTCCGCTCTTGGGTTGGGGTAAATGCTGCCGAGTTCCCGTCTTCCATCTTCATGTGGATTTGGACTGTGGACCCTTCGCACCGTCGCGTCCCGGACCGCCCGGACGTGGGGCGTGTGGGACGTGGTGAGTGGCCCAAAAGCTGAAGCACCGCTGGTGGAACCAGCCTTTTGCCTGGTGCATGTTTAGACATGTTTAAGCACTATCACTGGACCATCTGGACCCCCCATTGGGTGGGTCAAGCACTCGGAGCTCAAGAACATCCCTCTTATTGGATGGGTGCAAGAACCTTTCCTATTGGAACTGAGGTTAAGACGTTATATCAACTGCATGGATGGTTAACATGGTTAATAAGCTTATTATTATATATTAATATATTATGATGATTATATACCGTGGATGGTCAATGTGGATAGTATATGGTTTAATGGATTTGGCCCAACCCCCCTCTCGGACTTGCCCGAGTGACGACGGCAACGTGACACCGCGAGAGGTTGCTCATCGCAGCGCAGGATACCTCACGGCCGACACCTTCGGGGCTCCCAAGGTGTCGCTTTCCGTTTCGGTTTGGTCCAACGTGGCTTGGGTGGTGGAAGCCGAGAGAGGCAGAGATGGGTTTGCAAGCTGCAGTCTCTTATCCCTCGGCACCAACAAGCAGGTTCATATCACAGATACCCAGAGACTGGTACTGCAATGGGAATATCAGGCGTCGCGCCTTCTTCATTCATACCACCTCCATTGATCTGCAAATGTGTGATGTTTGGGCATCCGGTCATCTTGGACAGGTCTTCATGTCGCTCCACGGCCGAGAGTATCTCCGCCAAGTGGCACCGCACGGAAAACTGCTGAGTCCCTTTAAAAACTCCACTGAAGCAGTGGCCAGCATGCAGACCACATGGCATGCTCCTGGGTTCTTGCTGCTTTTCATGAAATTGACCAAGTGTGAGTGTATTCTTCATGTCATGCCAGGCTTGTTTTTGGAGGATTGTT